ATAAAAGATCGTCTAGGTTCTCTCCAGCTCAGAAGACGTCTCTACTATGAGCAAAACAAGTACTGTTAACAAGCATTTACCGTCGTGAGGTGTGAGGGATATAGGTAATTAGCTCCAGTTATGAACACCCTGAGAAATGTGTGAGTCGGTGATCTGCATCTGGCCTTGTGCACGAGAGAAGCCGCTGATTTGTTAGTGACCGTGAAGAGTCGTCTAATTGACGTTGTAATGCAGCAGCATCAGTGTCTTGGGATCTTATGATGTTAAAAGACGAGAAAGTTAACTACAAAATAAAGGAATTGTAACACTATTACCATTTAACTCTGGTACAGAAAGTGGATTCATGTAGATTCCAGTATTAGTTGCAGATTCAAATTTTCCCATTTACTAATTTATAAATCTGGAATCTATGGTTTTTAAGAAAATTCAATGATATACACTGGGAATAAGAGGCAGTAATTTGGAAAGTCTGTGGCTCGAGACGTCTTGAAAAAATATATATTTTTTTTTCTGACTGGGAAGCCATGGGATAGATGAGAACATGGGGTGTAACACACCTTCATTAATTAGTCTTGTTCAGGTGTTGCAAGGTCTTCGTCATCACATGTTAAATTTTCAACATTATGGACCCTGATTCTCAAATGTTTCTTTAACATAATCCTCATCATTGTTCACTTGCTCTGCACTATGTACATTATCTCCTATCAATGCTTCAGCAGTGTGCACTAGTAATGACGCTAATTTGTCTAATGTTCTTAGATTTTTAATTCCCTAAGTCAGCACTTTAGTCGCTCTTACCACACCACTATCAGGTTATAATGTAATAATTTAGTATAGAAATCATTTAGATCTGTCACTGGTCGACTAACAATGTCTCCTGGCGAAATGAGTTTTTAATTATAAGTCAAATTATCATCAGAATATGGTTCACGTAGTGAAATAAGATACTGCAGCTATTACTAATTTTGTTGTATGACTTCAGGCTATATTCTGACGTCATCGTGTGTCCTGACGTCATCATGTGCTGTGAAGTTGTGCAAAGAAAGGTATAAAATACCGACAATATGAAAGTTAAGACACATGTGCAACATCTGGATATCTTTATTGTAGTAGACGTTTCGCCATCCAGTGGCTTTATCAATACAGATTCTAGGACATAATAGGAAGACAGTAGAACTATATACAAAAGATGAGGTAATCAGTCCCTCGGCCTTGGAGTTAGTGTTCACAGCACGTGGTGGAGGAGAGTCTGGAGCAAAGGCAAGAAGACTGGCGCTTTTTATAGCGTCAGTGAATGGGACGGGCAGCAGACGAGGTCAGTCACTGGTAGCGGGATTCCCCAGTGGAAGTAGGTCCTTCCCAAAGAGATGGGTTAGTTGCAGCAGCGTGAAGAAGGTCTTGTAGATGTCCTCTGAACCAAGATTCCATGATGTTGCAGTGTCTGACAAGTTGTGCAAAGAAAGTATAAAATACCGACAATATGAAAGTTAAGACACATGTGCAACATCTGGATATCTTTATTGTAGTAGACGTTTCGCCATCCAGTGGCTTTATCAATACAGATTCTAGGACATAATAGGAAGACAGTAGAAACTATATACAAAAGATGAGGTAATCAGTCCCTCGGCCTTGGAGTTAGTGTTCACAGCATCGTGGTGGAGAGAGTCTGGAGCAAAGGCAAGAAGACTGGCGCTTTTTATAGCGTCAGTGAATGGGACGGGCAGCAGACGAGGTCAGTCACTGGTAGGCGGGATTCCCAGTGGAAGTAGGTCCTTCCCAAAGAGATGGGTTAGTTGCAGCAGCCGTGAAGAAGGTCTTGTAGATGTCCTCTGAACCAAGATTCCATGATGTTGCAGTGTCTGACAAGTTGTGCAAAGAAAGGTATAAAATACCGACAATATGAAAGTTAAGACACATGTGCAACATCTGGATATCTTTATTGTAGTAGACGTTTCGCCATCCAGTGGCTTTATCAATACAGATTCTAGGACATAATAGGAAGACAGTAGAACTATATACAAAAGATGAGGTAATCAGTCCCTCGGCCTTGGAGTTAGTGTTCACAGCATCGTGGTGGAGGAGAGTCTGGAGCAAAGGCAAGAAGACTGGCGCTTTTTATAGGCGTCAGTGAATGGGACGGGCAGCAGACGAGGTCAGTCACTGGTAGGCGGGATTCCCCAGTGGAAGTAGGTCCTTCCCAAAGAGATGGGTTAGTTGCAGCAGCCGTGAAGAAGGTCTTGTAGATGTCCTCTGAACCAAGATTCCATGATGTTGCAGTGTCTGACAGTGTCTTTTGTATATAGTTCTACTGTCTTCCTATTATGTCCTAGAATCTGTATTGATAAAGCCACTGGATGGCGAAACGTCTACTACAATAAAGATATCCAGATGTTGCACATGTGTCTTAACTTTCATATTGTCGGTATTTTATACCTTTCTTTGCACAACTTGTCAGACACTGCAACATCATGGAATCTTGGTTCAGAGGACATCTACAAGACCTTCTTCACGGCTGCTGCAACTAACCCATCTCTTTGGGAAGGACCTACTTCCACTGGGGAATCCCGCCTACCAGTGACTGACCTCGTCTGCTGCCCGTCCCATTCACTGACGCCTATAAAAAGCGCCAGTCTTCTTGCCTTTGCTCCAGACTCTCCTCCACCACGATGCTGTGAACACTAACTCCAAGGCCGAGGGACTGATTACCTCATCTTTTGTATATAGTTCTACTGTCTTCCTATTATGTCCTAGAATCTGTATTGATAAAGCCACTGGATGGCGAAACGTCTACTACAATAAAGATATCCAGATGTTGCACATGTGTCTTAACTTTCATATTGTCGGTATTTTATACCTTTCTTTGCACAACTTGTCAGACACTGCAACATCATGGAATCTTGGTTCAGAGGACATCTACAAGACCTTCTTCACGGCTGCTGCAACTAACCCATCTCTTTGGGAAGGACCTACTTCCACTGGGGAATCCGCCTACCAGTGACTGACCTCGTCTGCTGCCCGTCCCATTCACTGACCCCTTTAAAAAAAAGCGCCAGTCTTCTTGCCTTTGCTCCAGACTCTCCTCCACCACGATGCTGTGAACACTAACTCCAAGGCCGAGGGACTGATTACCTCATCTTTTGTATATAGTTCTACTGTCTTCCTATTATGTCCTAGAATCTGTATTGATAAAGCCACTGGATGGCGAAACGTCTACTACAATAAAGATATCCAGATGTTGCACATGTGTCTTAACTTTCATATTGTCGGTATTTTATACCTTTCTTTGCACAACTTGTCAGACACTGCAACATCATGGAATCTTGGTTCAGAGGACATCTACAAGACCTTCTTCACGGCTGCTGCAACTAACCCATCTCTTTGGGAAGGACCTACTTCCACTGGGGAATCCCGCCTACCAGTGACTGACCTCGTCTGCTGCCCGTCCCATTCACTGACGCCTATAAAAAGCGCCAGTCTTCTTGCCTTTGCTCCAGACTCTCCTCCACCACGATGCTGTGAACACTAACTCCAAGGCCGAGGGACTGATTACCTCATCTTTTGTATATAGTTCTACTGTCTTCCTATTATGTCCTAGAATCTGTATTGATAAAGCCACTGGATGGCGAAACGTCTACTACAATAAAGATATCCAGATGTTGCACATGTGTCTTAACTTTCATGTGCTGTGAAGTCAGATTCTGCTGTGACGTTAGATATAGTATTTCAGATAATTCCAATTTAACTCAGATCACAGCAATATAAATTTTAACAAAGATAAGGTTAGATAAGGTTTGTTAGGAAACAGTGTTTCTTGATGCGGGTCTTAGTCACATGATGACCCGCAGCTGGAGCTTTTGGTCATCTGACCGAGGCCTTCCACTGGCTTACGAGCCCACCACCTTTAAAAATTATGGTATTCATATAAAGATAAATCAGCATAAAAGTAATAGAATCTTAATATATCAGAATTATTGCCGATCCTGAGTGATAATATAATTCATAATATTTCCATTACATAGGAAAATAATAACATGTTAATTCCATTAAAAATACACGTGAAAGTAACACAGACAAATAAATGAAAAACATTTTATTAGCAATTACATTAAGATTAAAATGAAACTTCCACTTATAAAAAAGAAATATAATTACTGTTTTTATTAAAAATTACGATTAATTAGTGTTTATTAATGTGAGAGTGTCACACCTCTACCCGCTTAATTTAGTATTACCTAATAAGTAATTATATTTCCTGGTGAGCACTAAACTCTGAGGGGTGACGCAGTGCCCGTGGAATGAGATTCAGTCAGACATGAAGCCTACAGAGGTGTACACACTGTATATCACTAACGTAATGACTCAACACATACCATAAAGGCACAAAAATTATGAAATTTTATGTGGGAAAAAGACTCTTGTGTACAGTTTAGGGAATTTATTACAGGAAACGTTTCGCCGTGCGTGGTTTCATCAGTCGTAAGACAGGACTGAAGCCACTGTATACAAGAGCCCATTTACACAGTGTGTTGGGTCAGACACCAACTTAACATTTATATCCAGGGAATTTTGATGTGTTGATGGCATGTTTAATCAGTAATTCAGAACTCTGTATTTAACTTAGTTTTTAACATGCTCTTGTGACATGCGCTTCCAACATACATGTCTAACATGTACTTTGAAGGTTCAACTTTAACATGCATCTCTTACATACACTTTTAACATCCGCTTCTTCGGACATACACTTCTAACTCACTTTCACTGCCCTTTTCTTTATCTACTTATGACACCCACTTATACACTTTTAACACCCTATTCTAACAGTTAAATAAGGGCAAACCTTCATATAATTCTATTTGAAAACTTATCACCTAACAACTGCTGCACAGTTTTCACAAAACACAACATTTTATATATATATATATATATATATATATATATATTATATATATATATATATATATTATATATATATATATATATATATTTCCACACGGGTTTAATACTTTGCATAATAATAAGATAACATTTCTGTTTATACTGAAGTGCCCATTATGTAGGCCCTGGTAGTAGTCCTGTGAGTGGAGATGTTCAGTGCTTAAGCTTGCGTAGCGCCCCAGAGATGATGTTGGACACTCGACCTCTCAGGTTGTTGATGGGACCCACCTGGTCCGTGGCCAGGCGCAGCTCCTCCAGCGACACACCTGGACACACCGGAAAACACACCAGATTAGCGGAGACACTTGTGTAGCATAAAGGTGTACAGGAGATACGTGTTATGATGATAAGAAAGATGTCGAGGGATACAAGTGTGTATAAATGTAGTCAGTAAGTGGATGTAAACGAAGGATATATAAATTATCACCAAAATGGCCATGATCACCAGCATCACCGTCAAGCAACTCTTCGAAAAAAAATTCAGAGGAAATAAGTCCCAGCAATAATAGGACCTTAACTAGAAGAAGCGGTAGAATAACAAACACCAACATGACACTAGCATCAGTGCTCAACACAACATACACACAACATGACACTAGCATCAGTGCTCAACACAACATACACACAACATGACACTAGCATCAGTGCTCAACACAACATACACACGACATGACACTAGCATCAGTGCTCAACACAACATACACACGACATGACACTAGCATCAGTGCTCAACACAACATACACACGACATGACACTAGCATCAGTGCTCAACACAACATACACACGACATGACACTAGCATCAGTGCTCAACACAACATACACACGACATGACACTAGCATCAGTGCTCAACACAACATACACACGACATGACACTAGCATCAGTGCTCAACACAAACATACACACGACATGACACTAGCATCAGTGCTCAACACAACATACACACGACATGACACTAGCATCAGTGCTCAACACAACATACACACGACATGACACTAGCATCAGTGCTCAACACAACATACACACGACATGACACTAGCATCAGCGGCCAACGCTGTTGTATGTATATAGAAGCAGTAGCAGATGCTGTTGTAACGATAACGTCAATCCACTTCTAATTTTTCAAAAAAAAAAAAAAAAAAAAAAAAACGATGGCCTCTTATCTAATTCAGTATGACGTTCTTCCCGTTTTCATGATGACAACGGCCGGAGGAACTGGATAGCAGAGAGAGAGAGCCTTCTACTTTACTGTCTGCTTTAACCATGTGATATCAGTAGATTACACTGGCGCAAAATGAAAAGCTTTGTGTTATCTGCGTTTCCCATGAACTTCCAAATATAGTTAAGACCTTGCCAGGTATATTGTTCCCATGTGTTGCAATCAACCTATTCTAATAAAGAATAAGTCATCAACCATGTTAATGAACCTGTGTGCTCCTTGACCACCTGTTACAGTACTCCAATTGACATTGGGATGATTAAAGTTATTAACTATTGCATTAAGTTCATCATTCAGTATTGTTTCACGTTTCTGGCTTTGCTTTGTCAGTCCTCTGGAAGGGAGGTTCCTGGACACCGGTGAGGGGCTCTTGATCCGAGGAACTGAACTTGCTGTCCACTTGAATCTGAATGCTTCCTATTTCCCTTGGCAGTGTGTGACCCCTGCTGCTGTAGCGCTCTCCACCTCCGTTGGAGTATGATAATGCTCAGACAACCCATAGACAACACCTGACTTTATTGTCGTTGTGATGTGCATCCACATGTATGGTACACGACTGACCCGCACACAGGAGAAAGACACTTGTGTATTGTTCCAGTCACAACTATTTTGTTCTTCACATCTATTTCATTTATCTTTATTATTTTAGTCTTTTGTTTTCATAGACTACTACTCTTTATTTAAAAATTCATTCTTTAGCAGACAAGTTATAAACAAAAATTTGCTTTTTTTGTATATTAAGTGATGACTCGCTGAGGGAGGGAGAGGAGAGACAGACAGACAGACAGGCAGACAAAGAGAGACAGAGAAAAACTCACACCTAAACTTAAATATACCGACACACACAAAACAACACACTAATTCTAAGACTTTCCTCTTCACGGTCAACTGTCCAACAAGCTTCATTAAGCTCCTTTAGTCATTAATAGCTACCCACACCTGAGTGCCCTTCCCCCTCCCCCTCCCCCCTCCCCACTCTTAGCTACCAGTTTTAATGAGGCCACGTCCAAATTGCCTTTTGAAACAAGCCAATGAACTCTGCGAGCAACAATGAGACAAGCACACTGGCTCTCCCAGTCTTTCACTCTGCTCCTTCCTTAAGGAACTCTTAAAACCACGGTGAACCACCTTAATTTTGTTTACAAATACCACAAAAAAACAACGATAAAAAGATTACTGTTGAGCTCTGGGCCTGCAATGCACATTTATTAGTTAATTATTGTTGATAAATATAATTTTGCAATTTTTACACCAGCGCGTAACGTAACTGTGGTTTGTTACTTGGCTACCTTTACGTTAATGTGTGTGAACAACTTATGAAAAACAATGCCATGCCAAAATAATTGCAAGAAACATTATAGCTGCTTTTAACCTGTTCACCAGTCAAAGATGCTTTTATCTTTAAAAATAATGATTGAAGAAAGCTATCAGCATGCATGTATATTAAAATAGACGTCCACTTCTCGGGTATATAACCTCCTATGTGATGTATTTCACTGGTATCAAGTGCTTCCTTGATCATTAATGATCAGACTGACTTTCATTTAGAGTCAAGTATTCTTGGCTGCTGGTGAACCAGTGGCATACATTCTTAATGACCCTGATGCAGTTGATAGGCTTTAAACCACATTAATCAACCAATGAATTTCCTCAGTGCCAACAAAACAATTGTTGGTGTAGGATGAACTCCCTGACAGTGCCAACGAAGTATTCCTTGGAGAAGGAACTATACTCCCTCAGTGCTGACACCCCTCAAGGAAGGTTCCTTGATGAGTGAATATTAAAATGGTATACAATACCGACAGGTTCGTAGGTAAGACACATGGGCAACAGTTAGACAACTTTATTCTGTAACGTTTCGTCTACACAGCAGGTTTCTTCAGTAGAGTACAAAAGTAGGCTCCTGCCTACTTTTGTACATTTGAAATTTTCTTATTTTGGAAATGTTTCGGCATCCAATGGCTTTTTCAGTCCAATACAGAGAAGAACGATGGAAGATAAGAAGTTTGAGGTAATCAGTCCCTCAGCCTTGAGTCGGTGTGATCAGTCCATCAATCTTGATGGACTGAACACAAATGCTCAACCACATAACCTCAGCATGTGTAGCAAATCTCAGAATAGCATTCAGGAACTTCAATAATCTTTCAGAACTTTAAATACTACAATGTCAGACGAATCACTGAGTACTCGACCACATCATAAGCTCGAAAAAATTCCAAAGGTTTGAAACCATGAACCAAGAGGAATGCAATAGGAGGAGAGGTTGAAGAAACTGAGTCTTAATACACAGAAAGAAGGTCAAGGAAAGGTATGAGTAAGGTATACAGAATCTTAAAGGGAATTAATGGGGCAGACAGGGAAAGAATGGATCGAGAAGACCAGAATCAATAGGACACAGGTGGAAGCTGAAGACACAGGTGAGTCATAAAGAAACAAAGAAGTGGAATAACTTGGAATAGACAGTGGTAGAGGTAAAATTAATACACAGCTTCAAAAGAAGATACGATCAAGCCCAACAAGCCTGAAATTATTTATACCGATCAAAGAAATCTAGGAGCAGAGTCTCGACCCTTGCAAACACAACTGTGTACTCAAACAAACACACACACACACACACACACACACACACACCACAGACAGGTATAGTTCAACATCCTTCTTTAAGGGAACGATACAAAAACACTGACCTAAGTGAAGCTCTGATCCCTTCCTGTAGGTGGGGGTACCGGTAGGTGTGAAGGAGAGCGTTGAGAAGGCTTCTGACTGAGCCAGGCTGCCAGAGTCAGCTCTCAGTTCAGCTCTCAGTCGCTCCAGAGCTGTGATCATTATAAACACCACATAATAGCATTATTATTATTATTATTATTATATAGTAGTAGTAGTAGTAGTAGTAGTAGTATTGTTGTTGTTGTTAGCTGATACAATATTGATATTAAAACCATTCTCAGGTATAAGTAACACCTTATCTTGCCCACTGACCTAGCCCTAGCCCTTTTTCACAGATTTTGCCCTCGTTATTTTCCCTAATCTTGCCCTTATCCTCTTTCGCCTAGCCTTCATCCTCCTGACCTGGGTCATATTCTCCACCCTGAACTAGCTCACATCCTCTTTGATTTAGCCCTTATCCTCACCCCTGACAAAGCCCTCAATCCCTTACTTCGAACCAGACCTTATCCTCACCCTTAAGCAGATCCATCTCATCCATCTCGGAGTTGTTTATGATGTTGAGTTGACGATGGAACTTCTTGGCCAACTTCCTCCTTATGAAGTCAGCTTCTATCTCCTGCTTAGTCCTAGGAACACGGCACCTGAACACGCAGCAGCAGAATACGGCTGCAGAGAGAGAGAGTCGACGATGAAATGGGTGTAGCACGTGACAGCGGTGATAGTGGTGTGGGAGCGGGTGATGATCGTGTTTGTGTTAGGATGGGGTGGGGGTTATGCTTGTGTTATGGGAGCATGGGTTAGGGGATGGTGCTCGTGTTGTGAGAGACTGTGAAAGATGATGGGGTTGTGGGAGGTGAAACAGTTGTAAATGGTGGTAGTTAGCGAGATGGTTGTAGGTGGTGGTAGTTCCTAAAACAAACCATACCCCCGGCCGGGATTGAACCCGCGGTCATATAGTCTCAAAACTCCAGCCCGTCGCGTTAGACAGTTCCTGTACTTTGACGCAAATAGTGCCAACTATCCTGGACAAGAACACTGCCAACCATCCTGGACAAGAGCACTGCCAACCATCCTGGACAAGAATACTGCCAACCATCCTGGAAAAGAACACTGCCAGCCATCCTACAGAAGAACACTGCCAACCATCCTGGACAAGAACACTGCCAACCATCCTGGACAAGAAAACTGCCAGCCATCCTACAGAAGAACGCTGCCAACCATCCTGGACAAGAACACTGCCAACCATCCTGGACAAGAACACTGCCAACCATCCTGGACAAGAACACTGCCAACCATCCTGTACAAGAACACTGCCAACCATCCTGGACAAGAACACTGCCAGCCATCCTGAACAAGAACACTGCCAGCCATCCTACAGAAAAACACTGCCAACCATTCTGGCCAAGAACACTGCCAACCATTCTGGACAAGAACACTCCCAGCCATCCTGGACAAGAAGAATGCCAACCATCCTGGACAAGAAGAATGCCAACCATCCTGGACAAGAAGAATGCCAACCATCCTGGACAAGAAGAATGCCAACCATCCTGGACAAGAAGAATGCGAACCATCCTGGACAAGAAGAATGCCAACCATCCTGGACAAGAAGAATGCCAACCATCCTGGACAAGAAGAATGCGAACCATCCTGGACAAGAAGAATGCCAACCATCCTGGACAAGAACACTCCCAGCCATCCTGGACAAGAACATTGTCAACCATCCTGGACAAGAAGAATGCCAACCATCCTGGACAAGAACACTGCCAACTATCCTGGACAAGAACACTGCCAACCATCCTGGACAAGAAGAATGCCAACCATCCTGGACAAGAACACTGACAACCATCCTGGACAAGAACACTGATCTCAGTAGTAGTAACCAGTTACCAGTAACCAGTGTACCAGTAGATGACTCACTACCAACCGTCTCTGCCTGAGTCACTGTCTGTATTCATATTGCCGCTGACCTCAGCAGTATTTCAAAGACCCCCAAATATGGGTACTGTGGGCGGTCAGTCATACGAGAGTGAGCAAGGAGGCAGGCCACGGCTGTTTGGCTCTTCCATACTTACCGTTATAATTATACGTACTTCCAGCCTACGTGAGTATTACTTTACCCTATCCACGTGTTCGAACCCCACATGATAAATGGTGACAGCGGTGTGGGAGCATGGAAATACGGGTATTTTAAGACGTTAGAAGATTGTTTGAGTAGCCGGCAGGGTCAAAGGTGAACCTCCAGCTAGCCGCTTACCCTCACTCACCACCTCCAGCCTGCAAGCCTGTTGCAGCCGTTTTTTTCAAGCTTCCTGGCTTAGTTCGTGTGCTAATTGCTTCAATCTCCGAGGGGTTGACCCGGATTTTGCAATTAAGCCAGTCAGTAAGCCAGACTGTGGAAGTGAACGCCAGTCAGCCTATCATCCAGCCTGTCTCCTGTCATCCACCTGCTCCTCCGTGCTGTGTGCATCGTTACACGTCTTCCAGTCAGCCATTCTCGTGGGTTAAGCCAGTCAGCCAACCCAGCTTCTAACCCAGCTGAGAGAGAGAAGTAAGCCACACAAGTTCCTCTGAAGTATTGTCTTATATATCGCTTTGTGCTCCCAGTTGGATGCCAGTTGGATGCTAAGAGTGGTCTTCACCATCCCTGTGGCATAGTGGCTTATCAAGCCACCTTCGTGGGTAGTGAGTGGAGTGCGCGCCAGAGCGCCAGCGAGAGTCACCACCTCACCCACCGCCACACACTCTCCCTTCACTCACACCACCACCAGCCACCCACCTCATCTACCTGTGGTTGTTTGCACCCTTGTACCGGGTCCTAGAACTGTTTTGGCTCACGTAATTGGTCAAGAGATTGTAGCTGAGCGCCACCGATAAAGCCAGTTATGTGAGTTCACCGAGAAAGCGCATTTCTTCACGACGACAGTGTGAGTGTCGGCGTCATCACCGCGCAGGACAACCTTCCTCATCACCAGTCATCCCGTCGACTCCTCCAGACTTCTGTGATAATTTTCTGTTTAGAGACATTTTTCTTGCATTTAAAGACATTTGCGTGTGTGAGACATTTATAGTGAATTTCTTGTGTACTCTAAGCCTTGTGTTTTCAGTGTAGACTCAGTGTTTCTTTGACTCGTTATTTTTGCAATATTTTTCAGTGTTATTCGCTCATCTCATATTTTTTTTATGTGTGTTTTTTTTTATGCTACTCTCTGTTTGTAGTAAGTATTATTGTGTAGTGTACCAGTCACTCTGTGTGAAGTGATTCATTTTTTTTTTTATTGTATTCTTTCAGCATTGTATTCTCCAGTAATTGTCATTGTATTTCATGCAGTGATATTCACCCCAGTATACCAAATTATCCATTTATTTCTATGTGTACCTTTTTTTTTCGTATGCCATCAGTGTCTCGTTCCCTGATTTTTTTCGCAGACTGTGTCCCATTATTTTTGCCAGCAAATTTTTGTCGTATCAGTCACAGCAAGATTTTGTTGTAAGAATATACTAAGATAATGAATACGTGATTAAGTGTTGTGTGCCCACCACTTGTAAGTGTTACACTTGCCTCACCACTTGTAAGTGTTATACTTCCAGTTTTATTCCTTTGTTTTATTTTTATTCATATTGTTCATATTTCTTTGAACAAATTCACTCTTGATGTAATTTCAATTACTTTTAACGTAAAGTGTTTTCTTTACTCTGTTTGAGTAACTTGTTTTGTCTAATTTACAATTAAGAGTTAAAGTGTTCAATCAGTTTTTCTTCATATTTTTATTTTATTATTTAACCTGAGTTTTCCATTTATCATGTGGGGTTCGAACACGTGGATAGGGTAAAGTAATACTCATGTAGGCTGGTAGTACGTATAATTATAACGGTAAGTATGGAAGAGCCAAACAGCCGTGGCCTGCCTCCTTGCTCACTCTCGTATGACTGACTGCCCACAGTACCCATATGTGGGGGTCTTTGAAATACTGCTGAGGTCAGCGGCAATATGAATACAGACAGTGACTCAGGCAGAGACGGTTGGTAGTGAGTCATCTACTGGTACACTGGTTACTGGTAACTGGTTACTACTACTGAGACTGACAAACATCCTGGACAAGAACACTACCAACCATCCTGGACAAGAACACTACCAACCATCCTGGACAAGAACACTGCCAACCATCCTGGACAAGAACACTGACAACCATCCTGGGCAAGAACAGTGCCAAACAGACGGATTTTCTCAGTTCTTTCAATCTTTATATTTTTATTTATGTAGCAATTAAAGTTTTCTGGGAAATATAACGCAGTCATCCCTGGCTGGCTTCAGTCGATGAGGAATAATTTAAACTGTTGACTGTGTCATGTTGATAAATTAGACACATGTCCAACTCTTGGGTATCTTTATTGAGGAAACGTTTCGCCACACAGTGGCTTCATCAGTCCATACGTAGGAGAAACTTGAAGAACAGGAGAAGAATGAGGTAATCAGTCCCTCAACCTTGTGTCGATGTGTTCAGTCCATCAATCTTGAATAGAATAGACTGTGTCATTCAGTAAACATGTCCTAACTTCATATTAAACCATATTTCACTTATTGCTATAACATGTCAATTACGTTGTCATGGAAACTACGAAAATATGTTCTTCAGATGTGCGAAAAAAAAAATACAATTGGCTCATCCACTTCTAAGCTAAAAATTTACGAAATCTTTTACATTAGATTAATGAAACTGAAATACATGACCTTTAACTTCAGTATTCACGAGTTAGATTTTTACTATCGGTGCTTTATCCATTGTTTTCTAGTGTGTTTTTTTTCAGCATTTTTACACTTTCCAGCAACACAGGCCTAGAGTTTAAAGGGGTTTGTGTGTGTGTGTGTGTGTGTGTGTGTGTGCTTACCTAGTTGTACTCACCAAGTTGAGGTTGCAGGGGCCGAGTCCTAGCTCCTGGCCCCGCCTCTTCTCAAAGGGATCTCTGTGTGTGTGTGTGTGTGTGCGTGTGAATTATATAGAATTTAATCGTGACAGTGTTTGAAACTAGCAGTTATTTTTTACTGAATTTCATATGTACATACGAATTTCGTAAGGATGGTTTTTCACCACCAGTTGAAGGATTAATTGAGGCCACATGTGAAGACTTTATTACCCAGGGTAATATCACCAGTGCTCTCACCCGCCGCCTCTCCCCCAGGGTAATATCACCAGTGCTCTCACCCGCCGCCTCTCCCCAGGTAGTATCACCAGTGCTCTCACCCGCCGCCTCTCCCCAGGGTAGTATCACCAGTGCTCTCACCCGCCGCCTCTCCCCCAGGGTAGTATCACCAGTGCTCTCACCCGCCGCCTCTCCCCCAGGGTAGTATCACCAGTGCTCTCACCCGCCGCCTCTCCCCCAGGGTAGTATCACCAGTGCTCTCACCCTCCGCCTCTCTCCTAGGGTAGTATCACCAGTGCTCTCACCCGCCGCCTCTCTCCCAGGGTAGTATCACCAGTGCTCTCACTCGCCGCCTCTCCCCCAGGGTAGTATCACCAGTGCTCTCACCGCCGCGCCTCTCTCCCAGGGTAGTATCACCAGTGCTCTCACCCGCCGCCTCTCTCCCAGGGTAGTATCACCAGTGCTCTCACCCGCCGCCTCTCTCCCAGGGTAGTATCACCAGTGCTCTCACCCGCCTACTCTCTCCC